TACTGCTGAGCTAGATAGTGCTGAGCTTGAGACTGCTGAGCTAGATACTGCTGAGCTAGATACTGCTGAGCTAGATACTGCTGAGCTTGAGACTGCTGAGCTAGATACTACTGAGCTTGAAATTGAAAATACTGAGCTAGGAGAGCTGCTGAAACTACTTGACGCTGGAGTAGGAACTTCGACGATAACGGTAGCAGTACCACCTTCTGAGGCAATAACTGTAGTAGTATCAGTACTAGTACCCGTCCAAGTACTGGTAATAGTAAGAGTAGGAATAGGAACTTCGACGATTACAGTGACAGTGCCGCCTTCAGAAGCTATCAATGTGGTAGTCTCGGTACCAGTGCCTGTCCAAGTACTAGTTATAGAAACAGTAGGAGTAGGAACTTCAATTGCGACAGTGGCAGTGCCACCCTCAGAAGCACTAATGGTAGTAGTCTCAATATCGGTCCCGGTCCAAGTACTAGTAATGGTATTAGTAGGAGTAGGAACTTCGACGATGACAGTAGCAGTACCACCTTCCGTGGCAGTTACTGTAGTAGTTTCGGTATCTGTACCAGTCCACGTACTAGTTATAGTGCTAGTAGGTACAGGGACCTCAACTATAACCGTAGCAGTGATTCCATCATTAACTGCAACCGTAGTAGTTGATATATCTGATCTTGTCCATGTCGAAGTAACGGTTGCTGTTGAGTAAGGATCTATTTCTTCAACTACTACCTGCCCCAAGCTTGAGTCTGTCCAAGTCGTGGTTGTCTTTGTAGAAATATCTGCATATATGGTAGTGTATGAAGTGGGCATTTGAAAATAAGTGGAACTCACGGAATCTGCGGTACACAGAGTAGATTCATCAGCAATTAGATAAACATTTGGAAAAGATGTCGCTACATTTCCGGTTGGATCAGTCACTTGTAAATTTAATGTGGCTCTTTCTTCAGCGTTAGTATAAACAATTCTAATAGGGTAATAAGTACCAGCTGCAAGCTGAACTGTTGCACTTAACGTTGGAGCAGGAACGTAATATGTCTTTGAATTAAACATGATGAACTCAGAAGGAAGAGTTGCTGCTGCAGAGTTACAACAATCAAATGCAGGACCATCACCTAAAAATACTGCAGCCGAATCATCAGTTGAGATCAAGCTGAAGTTGTAGGTACCAGATGTTTCTGCATAGAAGTACCCAGTTAACTCTAAAGTGAAGTTGGTAAATGATATAGGTTGACCGTAAATATAGGCGGCACTAACTATAGGATAGTAGGAAATATCGTCCCATATGTCAAAGTTAATATCAGTAACCCCAGTTACTGTTGAAATTAAATTCGATGACTTATACCCAGTCAGTACATAAGCCAATGTTGCCATATTCGTAATATCTCCATAAGAGTAAGAATAAAACTTAGCCGTAAATCCAGAGGTTGCACTGCTACTTGATGGAGGCAAACATCCTGGAATGTTGGCCAGGCTAACAAAGGTAGCAATATAAGAAAATACAAGTATGAAGGAGAAATTCAATACACGCATTTTGTTTACTTAGTTAAGGAACTCGCTCAATTTCTTCTCGAGATAAAATCTACGGAATGGCTCATTTATGTATGATCATGTCTGCACGATTTTTATTAAATCTTTTTAATTACTCTTACTTCTACTTGAAAGAAAGTGCGCTTCCGTATGCTGCATTGCTTCCGATGCAATCTTTACATTGCATTTAACATGGAAAGAAATAATACCTTCATGCGAAGAAGCTAAAAAATAAGGTCTGTGATAGTTGCTTTATTGTCTTCTATTAAAAGGTGCATAAAACGCATATATTCCAAAACCTTGCTGCAGATAGAGAGCCGCCCAACTGCCTCAATGATGTATGACTTAATATACTTACATGCTCGTATATGGACTCAAACGAGAATTATAGTTTCTTTCTTTAATTAAGGTAATTTATTGAAGGGATTCAACGGAATGGCTACTTGAATGCCTTTTTAAAAAAAGCCAGACTATGAAAAAGTAGGCACTTGAGCCAATGAATAATTATTCACGTCCCCCACCCTCTGACGCTTACCTTTCTTGCAGGAGTTTAGATGATCTGCAACACAGTATTGACAAGAATTGCTAGTACATTAACTTAAATGATAAAATTTGAGTGAGATTGTAATAGAAAACAGGATTAATCGGGAACTAAAATCAGATACGATAATGCTCTGCACTCGGCAAAGTTTACCCGAGTTAAATGGAAGTATCACATATAGAGGGTACAGAAGTTTCCCAGAACAATGCCGAGGATAATGCTAGAACCGAAGATTATGGTGCATATAATTCTGTTTATTTTTTATGCACCTCCTGATCGATTAATCTTTAACTTAGGAAGATCTGACGCTGAGGATGCTATATGGATCGATCATCAAAAAAGAAAGAAAGTACCAAGTTTACTTTAATGTCAGCTTACTTCCAGAATGCTTTGTAAGGGTCCCACAGAAAAGGAAGATAATCACAGTGAGTACTGAACTAGACTACTCGCGTTGTGAAGAAAAATATTTTTTAATTATTTCGGATTTAAAGTAGTTGGGCGCTTGCATACTGCACAAGTTGATTCCGTCTCAAAAATTCTATTTACCTTAAAACCTATTACTAATTACACTCGGTCGTCCCCGATATGGGGAAACTTGCTGTATTTACCAACGGCAGCAGCAACAGTATGGAAAAAAATCTAGGCAAAGTTATTGAGAGTTGAGCCTGATTATGTGTCGCAGCTAGACTACACAATTTTAACTTGTACTGGTGGAGAGATTGAAATTGAAGTATAAAAATGTCTCCATCTTCAATTTCTTTTTACGGCGACAAATTATTTTCCAGGATAGCAGTTTTTATAACATGCATGCAGGTAATTCCACACCCGTATTATAAAAACATACATATGCGAGAAAGAAATAACACAATTCTATCCACTTTAGAACATAACACTTGCTTTTACGACAATAAATTTCGACAAATGTGTAAGGATCTCATTTGTTTTCCATTGCTCGCCTTCAGTTTTTATTTCTGATCTTTCTAGAATCATACTTCACAGATCTTGTATGTTCTTCCAAATACCACATTTTTGTTTTGCACACAGAGGTCGGTAAAAGAACTTGATAGCGATTGATTTATGTCTAAATAGTAGAAATACTTCCCTTCTCATATCTCCAAGTAACTGCGACTAATATACTTAGTTGATTATTTAGAGCTTATCCCTCAAATTTTAAGGGATATTCAGTATTGCAATTCGTTTCACTTAACTGTTTCTATATCATCTCGCTCTCACGCGGAACTCTTCCATCTCATCTTGCAGCGGAAAAAATAAGGCTACTTGGAGCGTGGCGCATCAAAAAAAAAAAAAAAAAACATTCTCCGAGGTTTGCTTCCAGTCATCTTGGCAAACTTATCTTTTCAATATTTGCATGCTATTGTTAATAAAAAAAGATCAGAGTTATCTCCATGGTACCAATAAAAAAATTATGTAATTCAAAATTCAGATTGATCTCGTCTGTAATATTTTCGTACATCAGTAGTCATACATGCGTACTTGGGGTTGTCCGTTTATCTTCAAGGGAAAAGCTCATTCTAGAGAAAAGTAGAATCAATATACTTTTCACCAAATGGCATTAATTATTCGAGTAAGCCACCCAAGAGAAACTCTTAAATGTTCAAAATAGAATGAAAATTACGAGGCTAATCTACACCCTTTCCTTAAAAACATAAAAAGCCCCTTTCCTCGATAATTGTAACTAATCTAATGCTACGTCCTGTAGTCTTATCAAACATTATGAGACAATAGAAATTTAGTCTAGGTGATTGTAGTCACGATTTTAATTCTGTAAATGTAATAGGTGTGCTCTGGATTACTAAAATATAGATCAAAACAAATTCAATCAGTATAACTCAACACCTTTAGATTATTTTTTCTCCTTGAGCTACATACCAACAGATCATGTATTTTCCAAACCAAGAAATGAAGTACTCAATTTGTCTTCAGTAGCCTACTGAGCTCAGATTCTCCAAACGTAGTCCTCACGTGACAGACTCACACATCTCCATCCTTCCTTATTGTTTTATGTTCTAGAATCTGAGATATCGAATAAATCTTTAATAATATTATTCAATTTACCAGGTTACTAAGAATATCTTTGAATTTAAAATATTATCTTCAGTTATTTTCTAGAAATAGGAAAAAATGCTTTAAAATTAGTAGGTACTTTTTTTCATGCGTAAAGAAAAAAGCAACGTGAGAATGGCTTAGGTTTTAAGCTTGCATAAAATACGAGCGGCTCAGTAAAGAAGGGATTACATGCAATGCCATTTTTTGCTCATTCTGCATTGGCGAAAGGTATCCATGTCTTTACAGGTGGATATTATCCTGAGCAAAGAGTAAGGACCTATCGAACGGGTTCCTTTTTCCCTCATTGTAAGGTCATTGTGGTATCTATATAATGCGCGCAATATTGGATCACAAGAAGAATTGTCTGAATGATAAAAACGGGCCCCCCTAGTCTGTTTTACATTTGTTTGGTTAAAAACTCAAAATTCAATAAAAAATTTTATTTTCAAGGGCGAAAGATCATTCATTTTAATATGAGTTCATTCACAAAACCGAACAATCAAGTCTTTCAAAAGCCTCTTTGATAAATTTGATGCTTAGAAAATAGCATGGGGTAATGTTTAATGACGTTGCTCAAATTACAAGATTTGAGCCTTGTAAATAGAGCACACTTTTAATATTCTAGCTACAGTTTTCCTTTCCTCCTAGAATTCTCGTTACCTAGGGCGTTATTAGATATTGTGCATATGTCTGGACACACAAGCAAATGGTTCCATAGCTTTATTTTTGACCTCTCAGTTCTGTCTTTCTCAAATATCTGGAAGTCCTTGATTGAATAAAACTCTTACGTTTTTCAGTTTTAAAGTTCGACATCTGCTCAATTTCAAATCCAACATTTTTTTATGAACAGTTTGGAATTAAAGACTCCCATACTCTGCCAATTTTAATTCAAGTGCTAGTCCTTCTCGTATGTAGAAATCTTCATAAGGTCACCTGACTTCGCTATATGCGGGTAGATAAATAATCTCTTCCTCAAAATCGTAAGTCAAATTACAGGGAACTTACACGAGCATTTAAATACATGAATATTTATTATAAGAAACTAAACATTTGAAGAAGTATATTTCAGTCTAAATATAAGGTAATCAAAACTGAAAATCTATGAGTTAAACTGAAGAATCGAAAAAAAATTTCTATCGTTTTTGCGATATGATTAGCTTGAAAGTCTTCTTGCTTCCAGCTTGAACAGAATATTGAATTATAATCATTGAGTGAAGGGTAATCTAATATGATTATATCACTAAAGTAACATGTGAACTAAGTAGGTCACTAGTACAGCTATAGCTGGAATATCAAAGGATCCAGCCGCTTTACCTTCAGAGACTGTAACAATTGTTGGTGGAGAATTAAAACTGGAAGGCACGGAAGTGGAAGCTGCGGAACTCGCAGACTTGATGTCCAAGGTGTTTACATTAAAACTAGACTTGGAAGAAGATTTAGTTGCAATTGCAGAAGGTCCCGCTGAGACTTGAGTTGTGGAAACTGCCTGTAATTCCAGAGTTCTTTGAGAGACATCTGCACTAGTAGCTAAAGCATCAGTAGAAATGGTTTCTGGTTCTGAGCCAGGTACATTAACGGTGTAGTCATTTAGTTCTTCATTAGTTAGTGTCGATCTAGATGGTAATGGGCAGTAATTAGTGTACTCTGTGGCTACTTCGTCAATAGTGACGGTGACAACTGTGACACCTGTGGTGACTGGCGTAACCGTACACTTTTTGTCATCGCAAGAAGTGACGGTAATTACAGCCGTTGAAATATCCGTTTTCGTAGTAGTGCTATCAGCTTCTGTAGTAGCAGAAGACGTAGTATCCGTTGCAGAAGGATGACCTGAGGATGATGTCAAAGAATAAGTACTAGATGGCCCATATGTTGAGACGAAACTTGAATTACTCCAGTAACCGGTACTTGATGTAAATGATGAAGCTGGGAAAGATGAACTATAAGTCTCAGATGAAGCAGCACTAGATGAGAAATCTGCAGTGGTAGACGATGAAATAGAAGCAGTAGAAGAAGTTCCAGTTTCACCCTGCTTGATATAAAATATAGTCTGATCAACAGTAAGTTCTTCATTTGGACCTGTAATAAAAAATTCAATATGCTCACCGCTGGAAATGTAATTATTAACGATACTGATTGGATAATAAGTACCTGCTACTAATTCCACGGTCAATCCACCGGAGCGGGATTGACCTTCAATGATTAAAGGAGAAGAGTTGGCTCTCTTTGATAATGTACGTCCACAAGAGAATGCAACATCTGCTCCAATAGAGAGAGCAGCCCCATTTGCAATATTGCTCAACTCAAACTTATAGCTACCGCTCAAAGGAGGAAGGAAATAACCTTCCAAATCTAAGGTGAACGAACTTTCGTACACAATATCAACATCAACAATAGCTTCCTCAGTAGCTTCCAATTTATTGGATTTATATCCACCTTCAAGGTACGAGGCTAAAGAATCAGAAGCAGTGTAGTCGTAAAAATATCCAATGAATCCTACAGCTGAAGGTTGAACAGCCGTACAACCTTCCGCAGTAGGTGTGCTACTAGAAATACTACTAGAATCAGTACTACTTGGAACTTCGACAATGACGGTGTCTGTACCACCTTGAGTGTCAGTGTGAGTAACGGTGGTGGTGAAAGTTCCAGTCCAGGTAGAAGTCTGAGTAGTTTCGGAGTTAGAAGAAACTTCAACACTAGAGTCAGTAGTACTTGGAACTTCGACAATGACGGTGTCTGTACCACCTTGAGT